TAGGTACGTGAATCGCTTTTCTAAGTATCAGTTGACGAAAATAGATCCGTGTTTCTCTGAATACAAATCAGTTTGTGGTTGTATCCCACTGCATTCTGGAGGTGAGGTCGTTTACCTACTATTGTAGATATCGAGATCATCGGGGTATTTACGAAAGGGATGTATCAGCCGTTAACTTTTTACTGCTAAACATAACCTCCCCCATAAGGGGAGTTCTGCCATTAGTTGCCACGCTTAGCAGGTGGGTTAGCAAACGCAGTTTAACTTTTGGTGATATTTTAAGAACATAGACTCCCTTAGTCGCTTCTTATGATACCCACGGGAAAGGAAGAGGTTGCCTATTCTATGCTAGGACCTACACGCCTAACGAATTTACGAAAATGATAGTTTATACAAAATAGTCTCTATACAGTCTCATCTGGAAACCATCATGATTTATTGATAAATCCTTTGGACCAACTGACCTGACTTCGTCTTCACCTGTCATGTTCACTGGTACTCTGCCAGTAAACCAATAGCACAGGTGAGGTTACCGTTAAACTGTTATCTATTATTAAATAAATACGAGCAGCAAACAATTGCCACTGCCATGAACGCTCTCATGATCAAAGGTGTAACTCTCTTGTTGTCGACCTTCGTGGCATAAAGTTTTTGAGTGACATCATTCACATTAGAAATCCTAATTACTCCCATCTCATCCTACATATCAAAACCTAGATAAACAAGAATAACAGCTTCCCGGTATAATCATCATCGTTTCAGCCATTATCCGTCCACTGCTGGACAGCCCTCCCCCATAGAATGCCATAAGGAACAGTCCTTATGGCATTCCCGGTATACCCGTATTAAATCTACAGTAAGTTTGTTTGTACCCTCTTGGCGCCGTAACGGCTGACCAATCATTACAAAATTTTATAAACATGTTTACAACAACATTTCTCGTCTCTCGTCATCACATCGTTTTGGCATAAAATATACCACCCCTCCCTTTCTCGTGGGTGTCGTTGGAGGCGACTAATGAAATTTAAGCTCGAGGGATCAGCAGCAGTATCCCTCTTAAAACATCTCTAAGGCCTAACTACGTTTTTCAGCCCGCCTGCCAAACGTGCCAACTATTGGCAAAACCATCCAACAGAAGAAGGCCTATGTACGGAAGTGGACAATTAACGGCCAATATGAGATGCAACAGCACATATACTACATTTTATCCCGGCCAATAGTTTTATATTATCTGTGTCCCGGCCAATGAACATATCCCGGTCACGCTTCCGAAAGACACGTGTAACCATATAAAAGTGATTAATAAGTCCACGCAATACAATTTATTACGTTAATGATAATGTAACAGACGTTTATTGAGCGAAATGGATTCAAATATACATGTTGCTCAGCGGCAAACGAAAACAAAGCATAACAATGCAAATTTATGAGGCTGTAAGTGGACACATTCTAAGAACTTCGAAACTATAATTTAGGAAAATTAGTATGGAACAGCGCAAAATTGGAACGGTCTATTTTAACGTTAGTATTAACGATGGCAGTGGATATTAAGTAGAATAGAGAAAAAAAATACAAGGAATAGAAAAAAGGGCACGCACGTGTCAATAGCGCAATATTTGAGTTTTGGTAATGCTTGCTTGCTAAATTTATGGGAAAAATGTAAAAGCATGTGTCAAATGATTTATTCGTTTAAGTTCCGGTTAATGTTTACTAAATTCATGATGAGAGCCTGCCAAAAAACCAAAAGCACAAAGAGTTACCATTTTCATTTATTAAAAATATCCACCATATAAAGGTACGAAGATACGAAGTCCAATACACTTTTTATGGATGATACTCATTGGCGTAAAGATTATTTATTAGGAGACGCTCGGCACCTTGAAGAAAGCACATATACTCTCAGACATGTCTTTGCGCATTGCTGAAAGCTCCGTTTTTACGCTAGGGTGGGCTTCACACAATAGGCTTCTGAGGTAGATAGAAGCCAACTGTGTCCTCTATTAATTATGGATATGATGATATTGGTATGGTAAGTCTGGCTGCGCTATCGATACACACTGAGATAGTAATAAGGGATGACAGGTAAGAATAAAATTAGGTAAATTAGGCCATAGCAAAGAAATTATCAGTCTTTATAGAAAATCATTCTGATAGGGTATTTATTTATTTACTATTTATAATGCCTGATGGTATTCTGTACCATTCGATATATATTAGATATACTCATATTGTTAGTAAAGTGGCTACTAATCCCCATTATTAACAATTCCCTCTCTCCGAGATGAAGTATATCGGATAGTCCCAGGTGCACCAAGCCACGTCATATGCATAACGTTACGTGTTTTGGCGTCAACACACAAACTATTTCTGCGCGCTCAAATGCCGAATGCCAAACTCCCATTTATACTACTAACTAAAACTGACCACTACCCCCTTCCCTTTATTAACCAGATCCTTATTAATTGGGGGATGCGTCGAAGTTTTTGTGGGTCCAAAAATATTGGCTAATTTATGCTAGACTAGCTGACTAGGTGCTAGTATAAAATAGATATCAAAAGTGCATTCATTGCTAGCTATTTTTAATTCATTAGTTACTATTGATTGATATTGATGTATCATACATCAATATTGGTTATACACATGTTTGTCCATCTTTCAGAGAGAAGCAAATCATGTACAAAACTATTATCTGTCATAACCATCGCAAAAGTTTGCTTTGAAAATATTATAGATCCATACCAGCAATATATAATGGATCTTATTGCATCTATATAAGCCATAACAATCCTTAAAATGGCGACGCAAGAATACAGAATGTATTCTCTGTTGTCCGTAGTATCGTATACGCTATTCTAAAACAAAAACATTGTCTATCAGGTCGGCCATCAGCTTATTTGCCATTCGAGTTGTTATTCTTTAAACGCATGTTTAATAAAGCAGTGTAGTTCGACAGGAGAAAAGATTTAAGAGGTGACTCTATTATTTTCTCTCAATTCTAATGAGATGTTGGCCTCCCCTCGATTTATACCTTTAAGAATCTTTAGCTAGAGAAACAACTTGCATACCATTACAAGTATTTATAATTAAGATTGTGTTCCTCAAAGAAAAACTGGCTTCAATTATAACAAAACCAGTCATTTTGATTTTAAAACCAAATTTCCAACACGCTTTTGATAAAATTTCTATGGGATCAATCTGTAAGTAAGTAAGTGTTCTTTAAGAAAACAACAAGCAATTTCCAAATTGCTTTATAACTGACGGAGTTATGAAGTAACAATAAAAACACAACCAAATTAACAACTTCTTACTTTTTGAAGTCCGTTAAAAATAAGCCCCATTCCCAGTATAGTAATGTAACCTATTTTTTTTATACAACTTAGAATGGCAATCAAGCTGACGGCCCACCTCATGGAAAGTGGTAACTGTCGCCTATAGACATGAGCAGTACCATGGACATAACAGAGTATACTGTTTCGCCCATGATACCCCCCATGCGTTGCCATTCCTGAGGACTCAGGTGTTATTCCTTTGTACCCTGTAAATTCACGCCATATCCCACCCTTCAAACCGAAACACAGCCATGCAAACACAGCTGCTTCACGGTTGAAACACGAATGGGACAGAGGTATCCAAGCAATCGACTTTATAAAAAGAGAGCCCTTACCAGCAGTGGGATGTTAAAATGAGTTATTATAATGTACTGTACAATAAAAACGTAGAGAATTGTTAATTTTCATGATATATATTTCATGATGTACTTTATATTACAATAAAAAACATATATGTGTAAGTATATTTGTTATTCATATATATTTAGTTTATATAGATATGTATGTATATTAATTAGTAGTACCGTTAATTTTCATGGTTGATATATTTTACTAATGAATTAAATATAAATATATAATAAAATAAAATAAAATTAATATGCGACTCATGTGACTACACTAAATTTCCGTATCACGCTAATATTAACCAGTATTCATAAATTTTCACATAATTAGAGCAGTGGGAGTTTTGTAAGCTATTTGTTGTTGAACTATACAGTATAGTTGATACCCGCCATTTTTCCGCAATAAATTTAATTTACGTCACAAGGCCCGATCCAAGCATTCTTGCTAATGTAAGCAAAGACAAGAATGCCGTCTCCAAAGCTAAAAAAATTGTGTAACTCACAACTAGATTATGTAAAACGTAAATCCCTTATAAAATTAAAATTAAATCTAGTCTAAGTTGTATTTTGAAATATTAAAAACACCCGGATACATATAAATTCTTGTTATTTGTATTTTTACTGTATTTTCTAGGTTTCGCGGCTTATATTTGCTTTTTTTTTACGAACTATCACGCACTTTTTTCACTACTATTTTACCCCATAGATAGCCGCCTACGTTATCTACTGTCTAGGGCCTGTCCTGCGTCACATATCCACTATAACGGGAGAGCAGACAGAGTGGCAGACGTTCACTTTCTGATTTATATAATAGCCGTTAATTTTATTTGATCAATTTAGAGTTCTCTGGGAAAAGGTTTTTTCTGGAAGGTTCCAAGGTTTGAGTTGTCAAACTTAGTTCCCTAACGATTACCACGTGTACTTAATACCTACCATCATTTCATTTAAACAAAAAATTTAAAGTAAAAACAGTTAATTTTAATACAATCAAAGTGTTCTTTCAACATCATAATTTCTTCGGTTTCGGGTATATCGCGATTTATGCTTTTCATGTCTATACTAATAACTTCACAGGCTTAAGGGTATTCCTGAGGACTGAGGTATTATGCCTTCGTTCTCTATAATTTCTGTGTAGTATTCCACCCCTTAAACTGGCACGGTCACGCATGACAGCATAATCACTTCTGAGACAGAGGTACCATGCAGATTAAGTTTGGTACGTGCAGATGGATCGTATCCCAGATTCCCCATAGTATATTTTTATCCTAATTTAAAGGGTTCAAAGCCGCGGTCAGCAAATAGAAAATAGATGAAGTAAGAAACTCACATCATCCCCTTTCTCTAGAGCTCCAAGCGAAGTAAGTGATGCTCTGGAGCCACCATGCTGTCGCCTCAATGCTTTCTCTGTCTCCACACACTGAGCCAGTGGTACACCGAACATGCTCCCAACACTTGAGTCTGTAAATATTAGAACATCATTAACATAACCATTGGCGAATTTAAGATACGCGGGGTCTGGTTCCATAATAATATGCTCTTAGACATGTTTTTGCCTATAGTTGAAAGCTCCACTTCTGATCCTGAGATAGACACCAAACTATTCTGGAGTAGGTGCTGTTCTTCTACATAAGATAAATATAATCTTCAAGAAGTGCAAAAAACATTGAAAACGAGAAAATTTTTATAAATATTTCTTCAAATCTTTCAAATCCAAAGGGTTCGGAAAAGATTTCTATAGTAATTTAAACCTATAAAGCACAGTACGCTAGTACAAGAAAAAAGAATCTCGAAAAAAAATCCTACACCAAACTATCTGGCCCGTCGGCCAGCTGGTAGACTGATCCCTTTATCCAAAAATTATTTGTCACGAAGCTGTTCGACAGGTAGATACCTAATTAGGTGTTGACATGGACTGTAAAACAATTTAAGATGGAAGATATAAATAACTGCTGATAATTGCAGTGCGATATTTTAGCGAGAGTTCTTTCATGAAACCGCTTCGTCTCGAAGTGGATATCATTAGACACAGTAATCGGAAAGGTCGAACTATTCTGGGATCACTACTCGCCGCGGACCAACGCACAATAGAAAGGTGGGATGCTTTTAGACACAACGTCATTCGGTTTATGTCGCGATTGATGTTATAGTTTAAATTTTTATTATAGTGACGTCTGAATTGTGATGCGTGTGGATTTATTTCTATAGCTGAGGGAACGGCTGCCGACAGATGACTACAGCATTCTTTGGGTATCTTCTAAAACTTCGAAAAACAAACAAAACATAAAGCCCACCTGACAGAAAGAGAAAAGAACAGAACTATGAACAGTACTTCTGTTACATTTCTCATACCATTCCTAAGAACTGAGTTTTGTCTTCATACTCAGTAATTTTACTGCCATATCTCCCTTGTATAGTTTCACCAGGAAACTATACAAAGCTAAAAACATAAGCGACAAAAATATTCACACTTGAAGATTTTTATATAGTACTTCTAAATTTCACTGTTGTTTACTTTCTAGTATATATTGGGGTTAAGGGAGGAATTAATCACGATGGTTTCCAGGGAGTATAACATGGAAGTCGATCTGATAACTAGTAATCTTTATTGCTAACAATCCATTTTGTTTATTTCATTTTTTTTCTTTACAGCGAATTTTAATTCGTTAAAAAAAATACGGTCAGTATAAATTGTCAAAAACTTGAGAATAAAATATTTTACTTTAAAAATTTAACATTTCATTTAACGGATTTAACGGATTTTGTAACTTTTCACGTCTGCCGTATTTTGTTTGATGATACGTTTATAACGAAACATCTGAATTTATCTTCCACTTCAGAGGACCGTAGATAAAATTTGTGTTACTGAACACAAATTTATCATAGCTAACCGTGAACGGTTGTCTAATTAAAATGTCTATACTCATTATTTTTCATTTATTTCTTACGTGTAGGTGGCAACTAAAAGAAAATGTTATCCTCTAGTCTAATAATCAAACAAACGAAACACTTAAACTTGGCCTGAATCACGTATAATACGTGTAGTAGACAACAGATTATTTGGAATATGGTTGACTGAAGAAAACATTAGTTAGGGACCATTAACATAGAATTCGTGTAGGTAGACCATATTCAAAATATCTGTATTACTTTTGGCATTGAGGAATATTTGTACCACGCCTTCGCGAATAAAGGCACGAGATTATAAATTAAATTAACACCTACCAGCGTCTTGAAATAACTACACTAGAGCCCGGAAGATATCGCCTATAAAAAGATTCACACCTTATCATACTAAAACTAATAAAACATTTAGATCAATGGGAAAAGATAAAAGAGTTGCTGGGTGGTGAGGTTTTTTTTGTTTAGCTACCAATTTCTGTGAAACAATGTTTCGCTTGGAAGAATACAAATATTGGCACCAGATGTACGACACCTTATCTCTCAGGAATGTCAATGTTATGAGGTTTAGATAGTTATTGTATCGATAGAGTGTCTCCCTAGAAATGCTTTGGCAAAAAGAAACAAATTTTTGAAAATGGCGTACTTTACTATATTGTACTTTATTTAAATCCAAATCGCCTTTATTGAAATAGACTTGTTTACTAGCTAAGCACTTTCAATTCGTTATTTTTGACGAATCTAATATAGGATTCGGAATGTTGTTATCTGCTGAGAAGAACCCGCAAGAAACTCCACAGTTACTCTTTTAAATGTCTGGTGATGTTATGTGTATTTATTTATTATTCATTTTTTACTTGTTGACTATTATATCACAAACTGTAGTTTTCATATTATCCATATTGTATATACATTGTATACTATAAAAACACGCTAGCAAACTTAGCAGTTTGATGGCCGTTTTTCAAATGTTTTTTTAAGCGTTTCCAACCCAAAATTGTCTGGTATCCATCGCGGGATGAAAACGTAATCTTCGATCATACAAATAACTGATGTAAATGTGTGCCTTTTTAGGGGCATTATTCTCAGCCAGTGATAGGTAACTTTTATCAAACAACTATGGTATCAATAAAAGAGTAAACCCTATTTTAAAAAGAATGATCATGTGAACAAAATATGGCGTCAAATTAAGAATCTTCCTTTTTTCAATTTGCTTTTCAAACTGTTCTTTTCAAAAACCATAGTACACACGAAGATCCATAGCAGAGATAAACAGTAAAAAGATCTTTTGATGCTAATTATACAGCTTTAAATCCAAATGACTGTACTGAATGGAAACGAATCCCATAATATGTGAATCTAGAAAATTTTGAAACCCTACAAGACTCAGTAAAATACAACTTACTCCGCAAGCTCATTTAGACGTTATGAAATCGACTTCACAAACCTGACCCAATTACGTGTGATAAGGAAAATATACCAACTTTCACAAAGAAACACAATTTGGCCCAAGTTCAATACAAACATTAAAAATACGGTAAATTATATTGAAGTGTAAACAACATGAGTGCGAATGCAAGGTTTGGTTAATTTTGGTAAACAATAGTTTTGTTAGCCGGTCGGTAACATTGGAGTATGCTTGAACATACGTCTTGTTTCCATGGCCGAATATAATTTACATTCACGTCATACTTATAAACTGGATTGAGTACCTATAATGATTGAGTATCGAGTTATGAAGATGCCACTCAGAGCAGGTAGTTTTATTGCAGTAAAAGCATTTTTCTGAACGTAACTGACAGGGTAAGCCATCGTTAGCGAAATACAATTAAAGTCAATAACTTCCCCTGGAGAATTTTGAGCCTAAACAAATAATAATCTTCAGTTTCTTTTATATCGTATAAAGCATTGAGGCTAGATAGTAAACCCACCTTATTTATTTCTGCATCAATTCCTAAACGGCAATGCGTGACGATTATTCACTCTGTTATTGAACATGGCTCTAATACCATAAGACCATTGTCCTCAAAAAACAGCAAAGCATAAGGAGGCACTCCTAATATTTTGCTATTTCTTGATATGCCATCATAATATGTTTAGTTATTTTCAAATGTTTATAAGACCTTTGTCACTTGATTTCTTTTAGCAACTTTATAAAAAAAACTTAGCATGAAGATAAGTTTTTTAAGTAATAGAAGTATAACTGATTGCGCTATTGGTTTACGCTAACGGAGTACCAGTAAAAGATAACAGATAAAAAAGAACTGGTGACCAACTGCGACCAATCCACCAGAAAGTAACCACAACAATTTTCAGGAGAAACCGTGTGAAGATTGAACTAAATCATGCACGACCGCAAGACTCATTACTTCCTTCTTCCCCAGAATGATTTAGAGAATCATATTTTGACAAACATATTCAAATTATTTTCTTAAAACTGTATGGACAGGTCAACTTTATTAGCTAACCTGATGAGGAAAACATGAAAATTTGCAATAAAACCAAATTTCGGCCATCAAAAACTGTAATGTTTATGTTGGTCGTGCCGGGTAGAACAATATATTGCGCGATGACTGATAATTCTCATGTGCCGCACACTATTTTTAACATTTAAATACGCCATGGCGCCCGGCATACATTATTACTAAAAACATTTTCATATTTTACTTTGAAAACTTTTCGTCAATCTCGGATAGTATTGTGCAATTTTGTTTTGTTGCTATGCCTACATTGTTATTCTCAAGTCATCCTTCAACTCGATTGCTATTTCTGAGAATATTGATAGCAAAAAAAAATGTGGCTACAATTTAATAACGCTAGATGTCAATGTCCACTTGGCTTCTCTTGCGTCAATTCCTTAGATAACTATTTAGTGTCTCCAGAGTAATAATTCAGACTCCAGAGGAAGACTTTGTACAAAAGTCGATTGCTTACCCAAGTACCCACCTCTGTCCCATTCGTGTTTCAACGTGAAGCAGTTGTGTTTGCATGGCTGTGTTTCGGTTTGAAGGGTGGGATATGGCGTGAATTTACTGGAATAACATCTGAGTCCTCAGGAATGGCAACGCATGGGGGTATCATGGGCGAAACAGTATGCTCTGTTATATCCATGGTACTGCTCATGTCTATAGGCGACGGTTACCACTTTTCATCAGGTGGGCCGTCAGCTTGTTTGCCATTCTAAGTTGTATATAAAAAAAATAATCTTTTTTATACGCATGCTGCTCTATTAATGCCCTTTTTAATAGTATTTCGTGGTAACATTGTTCAAAAGTTATATATCCATCCATTAAAAACATGTCGTTTCGCAAAGCAGTTCTTCTACAAAAGGTTGTGGATCTCATGGTTAAACTGAGTTAATTATTTTACTCAGTATCTAGAGAAGCACGTATTCAACAACTTTGTTATAAATTGTTAATAACCTATTAACATTTGTAATGACCTTATCAATGTTTTATTCTTTATTTCTGTAATAACTATAATGACTTGACAATTGCACGATAACTAATATACTACCAATAAAATACTTTATTTTTGAAAACACTGCTTAGATTTGCTTA